TGATAAAACTTATGGGTCCAAAATGTGGAATCGGTTCAATTATGGGTCGAAATGTCTAGAATTTACTAAAGCAATTTATTTCAGGAAAATTGACAGATTGATAAACTGACAGACCATGACAGGAGTTATATCTAGTAAACATCTGCATGGGTATACTTGTTCTTAAATTCACAGTACTGCATAGTATCAAAATACACGTACACTATTGTGAAAATATTAAACAAGCATGTGCAGGATGTGTAGGTTCGAACAAATGAGTTATAATCACACACAACTTGCTTAATATAGAAACGGAATATTACTCGTCTCGCTCGTTGAGAGTTGTGTAGTGTTTGATATAGTTAGGCAAAAACATCTTTATAATAGCAAAAACATCTCGAAACCTACGAGTGATCAGTGTGATCAGTTCGAACTTTTACGTACAAACAGCTTTCATGCTTTGTAACCAGTGTTACCATATGTCAAGTTTTCCCTTTTTTTGCAAGTTTTTTGAGATTCAAAAAAGTTTTCAAGTTTTATTCCAATAAAAAAAGTTTTTTTTTAAAATTTATACAGTTTTTCAGTTTTTATTTTATTTAATCAATAAATAAGTTTAAAATAAAAAAACAATGTTTACCATTAACAAAATAATATTTTATACCATTAATATTCGAGATATTCCTAAAAACTGAAAAAAAATTAACCGGTGTTGATGACCTTAATCCCTTAGAATAGACATTAAGGACACAATGCACTTCGACCATATTGTAGAGATTTTGTGCAGCCCATTGGTTCACCATACTAGGCCAAATTCGCGCATGAAGATAAATGGATTAATCGGTGAGTGTTTGAAGATATCATCTGGGTCTGGGTAAGACAAAATCTTCGTGTTTCGAGTTCCCAATGACGGGTAGTTACAAAAGTTCAGAGGTTTCCTCTTGTAGTACACAGAATCTACATAGATTCATCATGACATTTCAAGTGTAAATTTATGGTGTCTAAGACCACAATATCCAGTAATTCCTTGCTACTGATGTTAAGGAAAAGTTCTGTACCAATTATCATTAAGCTATTTAAAATTCCTCAATTTGCTCATTTTTTCACTAATTTTTCTTGGGTATTTTGTAATTTTAGTACAAAAAAAGTTTTTTTTGTTGAAAAAAGTTTTTTTCATAAAAATAAAAAGTTTTCTTCAAAAAATATATGGCAACACTGTTTGTAACCATAGTACTGCGCTAGTATTGTTTCGAATGCGAAGATTTTCGGCAATTTACATGTGCACAACACGATCGTAAACGAACCTCTTAACAAGGGCGTAAAAAATACAACAATTTTATTTAGTTGTTTCAAAGCATTCAACAAAGCATGTTGATGTCGCTTTGTTTCAGAAATTACAATTTATTACAAATTATGGAATGCATATGAGTGAAAAAATTTAAAAAATATTTTACACCCATTGATTATTTGCATTTTGTCGATTAAAAGTAAACTCTAAATTCTACTAATTGTATTTTATTCTTGTAACAAAGCGTTTTGTTTAAATTAACACAAAATCTATAAAATCACTCATAAGTTGTCTCGAAACATTTCGAAACAGATCATACATTATTCCGATTGGTTTTTCACTTTAACTCTATTGTCTCTATTTTTTTTGTATTTATTTGCTTTTACACTTTTATTGTTGTGTGTGGATGATCAACTGCTTTTTTAACTTCGGCCGCACTACAGACAGTATTCGTAAAATAAACGAGTGACTTGTAAGTCATTTTTAACGCACTAGTGCAGATGTCTAATATCTAGTATCTTTTGTGTTCCAAAGTGAACATAAATTTCAAAAAGATTTCAATGAAAAATGTTCTGCCAATCGTTCACACTGTCCATCGCATCTTCTGTTTACTTTGCCAATGGTCTGTGTAAAAATCCTGTGGTATATGTTTGTATTTGGGATGTGGCTACCGTTGTATGTTTACAAATTTAAAATTGTTTCAGTATTTAATTAATTTTCAATTTACTTTTAAACACAACACAACTGACACATGAAAATAAACGCATAAATAAAAACGTAAAAAACGTGTCAACACTTGATAAGAAAATTGTATTATTTATTTTGAAAATTATTCTAATTTCTTGTCTTGGTACACGCAGCACCACCCTTTTATTTCTTTAACTTTTCCAACATATTCCAGAAAACTAAGCAATTTTGTTAAAATAGAAATTAGAATTGTTGGATAGTTTGCGCTATTGTCCCACAACCCCAAGTGATTTTGTGGAACCCGGTAAACAATTTGGCTTACAATTTTCAAACTAAGTATTTCAATGAAATTTGATGATGATTTAAAGATACAGAAGGGCCCTAGTGAAAATATTCTATAGGCCAATCTTCATAAAATAATTTTGATATATTTCTTTGCTGGGTTCTTGAATATTTTACTCCATTTGGCAGACTTTGTCATTATTGCTGCTAATACATATTTACAGCCACTTAGGAATAGGAAGTGTAAAAAAAGCAAATACAACAAACAAATTTCAAAGAAAATATTGTTAATTTTTTGGAAAAACAATCAGACAAACAAATATGTGAACAAGTCACCCATACCATTACAAACTGTATACTAGCGTGTCCGCCAGGCAGCCAGCCCACCGAGGACTGGTGCCTCCTTTACTTAAACAACAAACTTCTTCTGTTACATGTTTCCATTTTGTTATTATTGTTGTATTATACTTTCAAATTAACCATGTTGTAAGAGAAAAAGTAAACTGTTTTGAGTTTTGTTGTCGTTTTGTTTTGAATTTAGCATGTCACTGATTGTGAACACAAATACAAACAAGGACAGACACATTATTATAGCCCAGCAAACTTATTGATTTAAATTTTAGGATATTTTTAAATAAAACTTTTTCTCAAAAACAAGAAAAATAGGTTCTATACTTTGTTGTTGTTTTTAGCTGTTAACTTTTTATGTATAAAAAAATTAAACAAAAACCATACTACATATAACAATGAGCAGCATGTTGTTGTTTTCATTGTGTTTTGTTATGTTCCCAGCAGTTCGACAAAGAGTCAATGCATCCGAAAAAGACAGTGATTTCCCCTTACGTCTAACGAACTTGTTGACTCTAATTCGTCTTTCATCACGGATGTACTCTTTGTAAACGAGGGTGAAGGAAATCATCACTTTAGTGTCCCCTTTGTAAACGAGAGAGTGGACGCTTAAAAAACAAACTTAAGCTTTTTGTGTGCCTCTTTGTAATCTATGTGGTGACGATTGACTTCCTCGTAGGACAAGCACATGTTAAAATAGCTAGCTATGAAAAAACATTGTTCGTTTCACCATATTTTCATGGGTTGTTTCGGAATTTTACATATATCCGTTATTTATGGAACCATTTTGCTGTTTTTAAATACAAAACTTATAGAAAGTATCATTTGGATTCCGAAGATATCTGGGGTCTTTCAAAAATTGACAGATAGATAGATAGACAGACAGACAGACAGACAGACAGACAGACAGACAGACAGATAGACAGACAGACAGACAGACAGACAGACAGACAGACAGACAGACAGTTAGATAGACAGACAGATAGACAGGCGGACTAACCTTAAACGACAAAATATACATACATATACTTTATAGGCTGTGAAAATATTATTGTAGAGGAAAGTGAAGGTTAAGGGTACAATATGCAACTTATTGTTTGTTGGGTTTTGTCATACTCTTTTGTTTGTCCTTTAACTTTTTGCCAAATTTAAATTAATTGAGCAGCCAAGAACAACAATTTCTTTGTAATTTTCAGCTTGTTAAGATATTTTTTTTGTTGCTGTTGTTGTTGTTCTGTTTTTTGTTTTCTTGTTTAACTATTTATATTTGTGTTTTAATCATTTTGTAATATTTCGTTGTTGTTATTGTTGCAGTTGTTTTTCTAAATTGGATTCTTGTTAATTTTATCTTAACTAATGTTCTGACATGTTTTCTCGAAAGAAAAACACATATTTTCCCTGCTCTACTTTAGGACGACTATAGTATTAATTGGGAATACATGTTTTCTGTTATCACATACATACATTTTGAAATGTTGTTAATAAAATGTTAATGTTATCAGAGTAAAAGTTTTGAGGAATATTGAAATTATATTGTTATTTGTAAGATTTTTACAAATTGTCTCGTTTCATTGATTTCTTGGACTTGTTGGCTGGCTGGCTGGTTGTCCTTTTTAAAAAAGAATACAAACTTTATGCTGTTGTAAAAGCAATTAGTTTCTTCCCTATTTACTTACATCATCCTCTATTAATTTATTTTGTTTATTTACTTTTGTTTTTATCTGTTACTACTTTTTTCTCTTTAGTTTTTAATTTGTTAATGTTGTCTCAAACAGACCAAACGAAACGAATAAATAAACAATTGAGTTTTTTAAAAAAGGGGGAATGAAGTAAGCAATAGGGTGGGATCAAAAACCTTGCAAAACCTAAACAAAATATATATGAGGATCTATTTTACAAAGAAGTTAAAGTTTTACTAATTATAATAACATTAGACCCCCATGACCTATAAAAAGTATTATCCTTGGACCTTATGGAATATTCCTCTGAAGTTTCATACAAATATCTGAATAACAATATTAAAAATTTTTAATTAAATTTACTTCCAACAAATGGTGTCATCCTAATCTACCAAAAACTCAATGCCAAAACGGAAATGTACAAGAGCAAGTAAACAGGATAAACAAATTTGCTGTTATTTGAATTACTAAACTAAAATTTTAATTTTTTAAAATTGTCCTTCTGCTTTTTTTAAACTAATTTCATCTTTTTATTTTGTTTAACGGTACTTATGTATGTACTGCTAAATAATATAATGACATTAACACTTGTATAGTATAATTTGTCGTTGAGTTTCAAGTAAATTGATTAAAAAAAATGTTAAATTTAACTTTTTTGTGTTACATTTTTAACTAAACAAAATTTCAATTAAAATTTTATTTAAAACAATTAAAACAAAAACTTAAGAAAAAACACTTACCTTAAATCTATATATTGATACACCGAAGTGATACCCAAATTAAAATAAACTGGTACAAATATAAAGCATACCAAGGGATATGCACTGGCCATGCCATAGATAATTTCCCACATGCCCGAACCGCGATAGAACAATTCACTGGGATAACCTGTAAAAGGAAAAAAAAGTTTTGTCATTTATAAATAATTAGTTATACAAGAAATATACATCAAATGGTCTCTAACAGCTGTCCATTTAGCTTTTTTTTTTTGCTAAGTAACTCTAGTACATATAGTATAAATTACACATAAATAAAATTTTAAACAATGCAGGAACACTTTAGCCCAGCTGTTTCAATATTAAAATAGTTGATTTGTATTTGATTATCAAACTTTCTAATTATTTAGCAAACATCTAATACTTTGGACAATATGTTTTAATTAATTAATATTAGTTTAATAATTTTTTTCTATATAACAAAATATTGACAAAGTTTGAATATAATAGAACTGATAATTGCTTGTTAAATAATTTTTAATTATTTTACGAGGTATAATTTTTGTTTTGAAATGATTGTTTGTTATACATACACAGAGGGGAAAAAATATACACGTCTGTTACCAAATTGACATAAATGGATGTTGTCAAGTATATACAAGAACATCCAACTACGCAACGTTGTCAACATTGCAACAATTCGTTGTCATAATCTAATTTTTATGCACATCCGTTGTCTAAAAGTTAAAAAATGTGGTAAGCTCATTATTGACAACGGATTTTGAGCTTACCACGTTTGTTAACTTTTAGACAGAAAAGAGAAGAGAGAGAAGGGTAAGAGAGAAAATTTTCTCGACGATGAGCTTAACCTCCATTAGATTGCAACTGGACTGTTTTTTATATCTACTACCAAAAAAGTTAGGCGTATATTGTTATTCCGTTTGTAACACATAGACCCACAAAAGTGTACATTCTGGGTCCTAATTAAATTCTAAGTACATAGTCTTAGCCATATCTGTTGTCTATCTGTCTGTCAGTCTGTCTGTTTGTCTGTCTGTCTCTCTGGCTGTCCACCTGTCTGTCTGTCCTTCTGTCTGCCTGTCTGTTGAAAGCGCGATAGTGTCCGATCGGAAAAAGTAAAAGGGTTGAAATTCTCCTCATATATTCCCTATATATTTCTTTCTTATTCAAAATAGGCAATAAGCGACCACGTTTTCGCATATCCCCCATACAAGTGGCCCCTCGGAAAGCAGCTTTAACAGTTATATCTGATTTGAAAATGTGAGTATAGCGATGAAATTCGATAAGAACAAGTTTTATACGAGCCATAATTTCTCTACGAAATTTTATGCGGATCGGTCCGTAATACCCTCCCATATAAGAAGGTCCCCTTCAGAAAATGATTTTAACGCTCAATACTGGCTTAAAAATACGAGTACAGTGAAGAAAAGCGACATAAATAAGTTTTGTATGAACCAAAATCATTCTTAAAAATTTTATGAGGTTTGATTCCAAAACAACACAAATTTACCTCGCGAAAATCGTGGGGATCGGTCGATTATTGTCTCTATCCGCCATATAAGGTCGCTTCAGAAAATGACTTTAACGCTCATTACTGGCTTAAAAATAAGAGAATAGCGTTGAAATTCGACGAATTTTTCAAAAAGATTCCTTAGGACGTGGCATCGAACACTACAGATAAATGGGCAGTGAAAACTATAGGTTCTACTGAGAAAGGCTTTAACACCCTTGGACCTTGATAGAACTTCTTATTGGCAAAATTACTGGACACATTATGCTTATACTCATGTCAAATCTATTTAAGTATGTGGTAGAAGTTTCTTTCAGATTCTAAATTGTCTCAAAGATATGTTTCTAAGGATTCTAATCAAATCTGTTAAAAATACTAATTGGTTCTTTCAGGGACAATAGAAAAAACACGAGGTAAAAGGGAGCAGCCATGCCCACTACTGTGTTAATCGAAATAACACATTAGGCTAGAAATGGGTTAGATTTGTTCGATTGTTGTAGAAAAACATGAGATAACAGGGAGCAGCCACGCCCACTTCTATGTTAATCGAAATAACTCATTAGGTTAGATTTGTTCGATTGTTGTGAAACACTCAATATTTTGAAAACATTGATAAGAATTAAGATACATCTCGATTGAGAATCGACGTATGATAAATTCCTCCATTATTTTCAAAATTCCAAAATTTGAAACAAATCACCCAATATTTATTTTATTACGAAACACAGCACTTTCAATATTAATCCCCTCTGGGTGCTATTCTTTTAAGTGAAAGTCTACAAAGTTTTAAACCATGACATATTAAATTTTTTAACAAGTTTTTGCCAAGTTTTGATTATTTGAATTTTAGAATATAAAAAAGATTTTTTCTGTTTCAAATAAAGTTGTTGCTATTTCTACCACCTGGCAGTTAGTTGCACAGAAAACAACAGCAAAAATTATCATATGTGTAATCCACAGATGTAGAGAATAAAACTTTAATACTCAACATAAGTACAAAACATTCATTAAAGCAGTGGTCGTCACTAAGAGAAAATGGAGAACAAATTTATCAGAAAACGTTAGACATTACATTTTGGAAAGCTGACAGGTAGTTTTTATTAGCTGACTGATATTTGTTTTATATCTGCAACACTTTGGTTTCTGATGTTTATTTAACCGACCACTGATCTACACACATACATTAGTAAAGATTTGTATGTGCACAAAAGAATACCAAATCTATTAAAGTTTTGATATGTTCTTCTTAAGTTCTTCACTTGCTAAAGTTACACAAAGGATAAAGGTGATCCGATCCAATGACACAAAAACCCAGTATGGTTTCATGTGTATTTCTACATGACAACAACAATAACAAAAATAATAATACATGAAGAAAGAAAAAAAAAACTCAAATACACAACAGACAAGACTGGAAAAAAAGAAACTTTTCATGACCTTAGGCCTACAGATGTTTTTCTGTGTATTTTTTTTATTCTTTAATGCTGTAGTATTTAGGGGAAGAAAGGCAGGAGTGTAGGGTGGGGTGACTGGCAGGCAGGTCGAGAACTACTAATGCATACAAATATTTAAGCCAAATGTATATTTGTTTTATTATCACCCTTAACCACTTTAACATTCTGTAATCATTTTGATTTGTTGCAGAATTGTTTTTTTTTATTTTAGTTTGTTAAATTGTTGTCTGTGACCTCTTGCCGCTGTTGCTCATATTTAATTTGAGTAAAAGATTTTTTTGTTAGTATTTTTTTGTTTTGAAATCGTATTAAATTTTAAATGAAATATTTCCAAAAAATTGTCTGAAGGAATTTTGGTGTTTTTAGATTGCAAATTGGACAAAGTATTACACTTTTTAAAATACTACCACATCAATATGATTTGAATAATCGTAGAAAATTATATAAATTTTTCATTATTAAACAATCTATTTATATAAAAGAGTAGCGTTACTGACTAAATGATTCATCGCACAGCCCAAACGGCTGAACCTACAATCATGAAATTTTGACAGTAGATGTGTTTTTGGTTATGTAGGTCCACTAAGGAGGGATTTTTGGAAATTTGTACATTTACTGGTAAAAAGGGGATAAAACGGGTAAAACCGGTTTTCTTAATTATCTTACACAATATTAGTGATACAAGAAAAATAAAATGCTTTTTTAAGAAAAAAAGTAAACTTATATTAAAATGTATTCAGAAAATAAATATGTATGTAAAATAAACATTTGCTAAAATAATTGTATACTTGTCAATTATGGTGGTAAGACATGAATAGGGTGACCGACAGAGTGGAAGTAGCCCAGTACTAATTCTTTCCAAAAATATATAGTTTATGTACATTTCCAGCTCTGGATAATTTTGAAAATTTTTTGAAAAAGCATCAAATTTTGCAAAAAATGCAGACATTTTCAAGTGGATTCAAAGGGCATTTGGAGAAGACATTAATCGGATAACCGCCAGAGTGGAATTAGCCCAGGACTAGTTCTCTCCAAATATATATGGGTTATATGCAATTCCAGCTCTGGATAATTTTGAAGATTTTTTTTAAAATATACAATTTATCAAAAAAATGGAGCATTTTTAAGTGGATCCAACGGGCATTTGTAGAAGACATGAATGACATCATCACCAGAGTGGAAGTAACTTAGAACTAGTACTTTCTAAAAATATATAGTTTATATGCAATTCCAGCTCTGGAAAATTTTGAAAATTTTTTGAAAATCATTAAATTTTGTAAAAAATTGATGAATTTTCAAGTTGATTCAACGGGCATTTGAAGAAGACACGAATCAGGTGACCGCCAGAGTGGAAATAGCACAGGACTAGCTATTTCCAAATATGTATAGTTGATATGAAATCCCAGCTCTGGATAATTTTGACGATTTTTTGAAAAAACATCAAATTTGGAAAAAAAAATAAGGAATTTTCAGATCGATCCAGCGGGCATTTTGAGAAGACATGAATCGGGTGACCGCCAGAGTGGAAGTAGCCCAGGACTAGCTCTTTCCAAAAATATATAGTTTATATAAAATCCCAGCTCTGGATAATTTTGAAGATTTTTTGAAAAAACATCAAATTTTGCAAAAAAAAAATTGAGGAATTTTCAGATCGATCCAGCGGGCATTTTGAGAAGACATGAATCGGGTGACCGCAAGAGTGGAAGTAGCCCAGTACTAGCTCTTTCCAAAAATATATAGTAAAAGTTTATATGTAAGAAAATGTTTAGTACTGAAAATTTTCTATGAGAATTCTGAACATTTTCTTATTAAAAATTTTTAAAATTTACATTTCCTTACAGAAAATTTCAATACTAAACATTTTATTACAGAAAATTTTCAATGTTGAACAATTTTTATACAAGAATGTCCAATACTAAACATTTCTCATATAAAATTTTTTATACTAAACTTTTTCTTACAGAAAATTTTCAATACCAAAAATTTTTTTAGAGAAAATTTTCTTACGGAACATTTTTAATACTGAACAGTTTTTTAAAAATATATCCAATATTGAACATTTTCTTACAAAAATTTTTCAATACCAAACTTTTCTAAAAGAAGATTTTCAATATTAAAGATTTCTTTATAAATGATTTCCCAATACAGAACATTTCTCATATAAAATTTTAAATAAAAAAAAAAAAAAAATATAGAAAAATTCTCGCAATTGATCAGCTTTTATTAAAAATTTCCAATACTGAACTTTTTTGGAGAAAATTTTCAATACCGAACTTTTTCCAATAGAAAATTTTCAATATTAAAAATTTTTTATAAAAGAATTCCTGATACTTAGCATTTCTCATATAAAATTTTCAATACTAAACATTTTCTTATAGAAAATGTTCAATACCGAACATTTTCTTATAGATTTTCTATTTTAATATTGACCACTATTTATAAAAAATATCCAATACTGAAAATATATTATAAAAATTATCTATACTGAACATTTTCTCAAAGAAAATTTACAACGCTGAACATTTTCTTAAAGAAAAGTTTTCAATATTAAACATTTTCTTTTAGAAAATTTATAATATTGAATATTTTTTATAAAAATAATTCCAAAATTTGCCTATTGAAGTTTTTTTATATTAAAATTTTAGTATCTTTAATTTTTTTTTCTAAAAAATTTTTGAATATTTTAAGTATTATTTCAACCAATGCTGAACGTAGCATGAATTTAACAAATTATTTTTAATCATTGCTAAATATTTCTAAAGACTTTTCTTTCAAATAGTGACAAAAAATCAATAGAGTTTAGACAAGAATTTAACTTAAATCTCTGGTAGATTATTAAAAGTGTTTAAAATTCCTACTAAAGGATAATCTTATTTGTTTAGTCCCTCCGCCCTTTAAGTATTAGGAGAAAAACCAGTCATCATGATTATTAAACAAAAATGTTAAAAAAGAGAGAAAATAAAAAAACACAAAACTCACCTAAAACAGTTCTTACGCCCAGTGTTCCTCTGGAAATTGAAATCATTACGGCAATAATAGAAACGCCTCCTGTTGCAAAAACATAATCGGCTTTACTGTGTTGTTTCTTTTTACCAAATAGACGTTTCCATAGTGGTGTGAAGACAGTAAATGCGATAAACAAAACAAACATCAGATAATCCCAACCCAATGTACGTAACTCCTTGGCCATTTTAAAGCTGTAAATAAATAGTGAGCAAAACAAAAAAAGAACATAAAACATGAGTAAAAATGATTGAATTTAAAAACTGTTTTAGTGTTAAATTAGGAATTTTTAAAAGTTGTGAAAAATAGTCAAAAAAAAGGATGATGTTGGTACTTTCATATAAAATGATGTGAGCAATGTATTATTCTGGGAGTAATTTAATTCGGTTTACAAGCAAACAAATTTCAAAGGACTGTTAATATTAAACTGTCAATTATAGAGATTTTTCGAAATAGTTATCATGGCTAGTCACATGCACAAAACATTAATACCAACTCTTGTAAGCGTTTATAGATTTATAACATATTTCACTATGGTTAAAATTTATATATTTTTTCGTTTTGGAAAATATCTCATATGTATAACATATGTATGTGTGTTATTTTCTCTGTTGTTTTTGTGTTTTATGCATAATTTACTTAAATTCACAAAACCAGAAAATTACATTTTTTACCCATAACATCACACGTACAATAAATTTTATCCACACTTCTTCTTAGTTCTCTTACTATATCCCTCCCTTGGGCTTCCCCTCAGCTAACCGCTCTGTATGGAACGATATGTTGGTTCGCTACGGTTTATAGTTTAGTTTTGGAGAAAGAGTGGAACCAAAATACGCCAACCAGAAAAAATTGGTATGTATAGTTGGTAATGTGAAATACCCTACACCATAAAATGTTATTTGGTTTTTTTTTTAATTTGAGTCAAATATGGGCTGAACTCTATAAAAATAAATATTTTCTCACAGAAATATTTTATATAATAATTTTCTTTATGTTTGTCATTGTCAAAATGTTCGTATAGAAAATGTTCGTTAATGAAGATTTCATTCTTTTCCTAAAGAAAATTATCCGAAAGTAAATTTTCATTATAAAAAAATTATCATAAAAAGTTTCGTTATTCATATGTTTTTATAGAAAATTTTCGTTATTCGAAATTAAGTAACAGAAAGTTTCGATATTCGCAATTTTCTTAAAATTTTCGTTAGGGTAGGTTAGTGTTCTATTCTGTCAGAGCGTAGGTTAGTGTTCTATTCTGTCAGAACTAACTAACCAACCAACCAACCAACCAACCAACTAACTAACTAACTAACTAACTAACTAACTAACTAACTAACTAACTAACTAACTAACTAACTAACTAACTAACTAACTAACTAACTAACTAACTAACTAACTAACTAACTAACTACTAACTAACTAACTAACTAACTAACTAACTAACTAACTAACTAACTAACTAACTAACTAACTAACTAACTAACTAACTAACTAACTAACTAACTAACTAACTAACTAACTAACTAACTACTAACTAACTAACTAACTAACTAACTAACTAACTAACTAACTAACTAACTAACTAACTAACTAACTAACTAACTAACTAACTAACTAACTAACTAACTAACTAACTAACTAACTAACTAACTAACTAACTAACTAACTAACTAACTAACTAACTAACTAACTAACTAACTACTAACTAACTAACTAACTAACTAACTAACTAACTAACTAACTAACTAACTAACTAACTAACTAACTAACTACTAACTAACTAACTAACTAACTAACTAACTAACTAACTAACTAACTACTAACTAACTAACTAACTAACTAACTAACTAACTAACTAACTAACTAACTAACTAACTAACTACTAACTAACTAACTAACTAACTAACTAACTAACTAACTAACTAACTAACTAACTAACTAACTAACTAACTAACTAACTAACTAACTAACTAACTAACTACTAACTAACTAACTAACTAACTAACTAACTACTAACTAACTAACTAACTAACTAACTAACTAACTAACTAACTAACTAACTAACTAACTAACTAACTAACTAACTAACTAACTAACTAACTAACTAACTAACTAACTAACTAACTACTAACTAACTAACTAACTAACTAACTAACTAACTAACTAACTAACTAACTAACTAACTAACTAACTAACTAACTAACTAACTAACTAACTAACTAACTAACTAACTAACTAACTAACTAACTACTAACTAACTAACTAACTAACTAACTAACTAACTAACTAACTAACTAACTAACTAACTAACTACTACTAACTAACTAACTAACTAACTAACTACTACTAACTAACTAACTAACTAACTAACTAACTAACTAACTAACTAACTAACTAACTAACTAACTAACTACTAACTAACTACTAACTAACTAACTAACTAACTAACTAACTAACTAACTAACTAACTAACTAACTAACTAACTAACTAACTAACTAACTAACTAACTAACTAACTAACTACTAACTAACTAACTAACTAACTAACTAACTAACTAACTAACTAACTAACTAACTAACTAACTAACTAACTAACTAACTAACTACTAACTAACTACTAACTACTAACTAACTAACTACTAACTAACTAACTAACTAACTAACTAACTAACTAACTAACTAACTAACTACTAACTAACTAACTAACTAACTAACTAACTAACTACTAACTAACTACCTAACTACTAACTAACTAACTAACTACTAACTAACTAACTAACTACTAACTAACTAACTACTAACTAACTAAACTAACTACTACTAACTAACTACTAACTACTAACTAACTACTAACTAACTAACTAACTAACTAACTAACTAACTAACTAACTAACTAACTAACTAACTAACTACTAACTACTACACTACTAACTAACTAACTAACTAACTAACTACTAACTAACTCCTAACTAACTAACTAACTAACTAACTAACCTAACTAACTACTAACTAACTAACTACTAACTAACTAACAACTAACTACTAACTAACTAACTAACTAACTAACTAACTAACTAAATTTCTTTATAGAAAATTCCCACCTAGGCCATAGAGGCCTAGGTGTATTTCTTCGAATTTGATGCTCATACATACATCCTCCTTACAAACGAAATAACTATTCTTTCTTCATTTTAAATTTTCTTATAGCAAATTTTCGTTATACAAAGTTTTTAGAGAAATTTCTCTGCTAAATATTTTCTTATAGAAAATTTTCGTTATTCATATTAATTTTAGAGAATATTTTCGTTATTCATATTTTTCTTACAGAATATTTTAGTGATTTAGAAAATTTCTTACAGACAATTTTCGTTACTTATATTTTCTTATAGAAAATTTTTGTTATTCAATATTTTCTTACAGATGATTTTCATTATTCATAAAATTTCTTATAGAAAATAATTTTTTTTTTAGAAAATTAAAAAAAAAAAAAAAAATTTTATATAAAATTTCGTTACTTAGAGAAAATTTCTTTATTCAAATTTTTCGTTATTCAAAATTTAAAGAAAATTTAAAATTTTCGTTATTGAAATTTTCTTTGAGAAAATTTGCGTTATTCAAAATTTTGTTATTTATTCCAAATTTTTAGGAAATTTTCGTTATTGAAATTTATTGTTATTAAAATTTTCTTATAGAAAATTATTGTCTTTAATAGAAAAGTATGTATAGTTATTAAAATTTTCTTAAGTTTTGTTTAAGAAAAATGTCATCATTAAATGTTCCTTCCCCACAACAATGGTGTAGGGTATAAACAAAAAAATGAGAATTAACATTTGTTTTAGATCTCTATTTAACTATTTATATAGTCACGGTTTGTTCTCGTAAATTTAAGCATGTACAACCACAGGCACTGACACCAACTCTAACACATGTACTAATACACCTATTCATACAATTCTTGGAAATTCTACTCATAGTATCTGTTTTTCACTATGTAGTAACTATAAATGCCAATGAATTTTTGTCACATGTTGCACTTAAAGATAAAAATGTTTTTTTTTTTTTTTTTAATTCATATTTAAAACAAAAGTGAAAAATTTTTTGTTTCAAGACTAAAATGTATTATGGGAAATCCTTTATAAATTTCGTTGCGCTTGTGTGCCCACCCATGTTATTTAAGTTAGATTTAAGTTTTTTTTTTCAGTGTATATTTGAGTAGATTTTCAAAAGTGTTTGTGTTTTTTGCTTGTGTGCAAATTTCATTTACAAAACTATGCTTTTCAGGTAATTCTGCGTACACAAGAGTCTAGTTTTACTATCTTTTTTTAAAATAAATTTTAACTACTCTTCTATGGCAACTACTCGTAATAATCGTTTTAACTAAATTGTATTTTATATTTGTTTTTGTTTTTTTAACCTTTAAACCCTAGTATATGTTTGTACTAGGTACTTATTTGAATAGTATTGGGTGGTTAGGAAAATAGTTTCGTTTTGAAAGATTGTAAAAGATATAAAAAATTAAATTTTAAAAAATTTTAAATAATTGTATTAAAAAAAAAAAAAAAAAATAAATTACTAGAGTTCTTGATTTATTACCCCTAGTTGCCTGCAGGACACTGCCCAGAACTAGATTAATATATTCGAAACTTTGTTACATTACTTTTTCCCCAATCCCTATAAAATCCAAACAAAAGTACCTTACCCTTCCTACAACATCTAAGCTTATATTAGTTTGCGTTTTTAAGTGGCAACTGATTTTGATTTTTTGTATTTCCTCTTTTTATTATAACAGCAAAAAAGACAAAAACAAGGGTTTTTATGTTACATCAAACCTTTTTATATTCTTACGAATTTGCAACACACCCACGGCATCCCTTTCTCTATAGATATTTGCTATTGGGAACTAAGAGTCACATGTGTTGAAGGGATTAGCTTTTTATACTTCATATGTTGCTGATGTCAGAGTTGTTTTACAAGTTTGTATGTTTTTTTTTTGTTTTGAATTTTTATTTTATTATTTGTTTTAAATGTCTCAGGCACTAACAATGGGAATCCTTTTTTGTATATACATATGTATGTGTGTTATTTCGTTGCTGCTGTAAATGTGCTGTATATCCTTTTGTGTTGTCATAGAGACGATTTTAATATTTTTTCCATAAATGGGAAAGGGCTAAAAGAGTATGTGTGTGCCATTGTT